CCCCCCCTTCCCACTCCTGCATTAGCATCAGAAAATAATTCTACCAAGGAACTGTCTAGGTCAGATCTAAGATAGGTTATTTTGTCGAATTTGTGCTAAAAGGTCTTGGTTATGTTCAGGGGATGATAAAAGGGAAGACATGGTCCCTGTCCTCAGAGTTCACAGTCTGGTGGCTGAGACCAAAATGCCAGACCAGTGTGACAGATGTCATGAGAGATGAGGGGAGCCTAGCACAGAACATGGGGTCACAGAAGGATTCTTGGAGGAGGTATCTGCCTCCCCTTCTAGAAATAGGCTGTAAGACTGCAGGGCCCCTAAGCAGAGTAGGATGGCGATGGAGGAGGAAAGAATTTCTGCTTGCTAAGTCAGCTCCAGGGTTCTTCTCTGTTATGCAAAACCAAAGAGACCCTAAGTGAACAGACTCTAAGCTGGAGGATAATATTGTAAGGAGCCAAGTAAGGTTGGAAGGGAGAGTTTTGGGGAGAAGCTACCATCTCAATGGACAATGCTGAACGGGGGAGAGGATTTTAAAGACATTGGGCAATGCATTAAATGTGCTCCCGCTCCATGCTCTCCTCCCCCCACCTCCGATGTTTCCTTGAGAAACCAGAGATTTAAATCATTCTGAAGCAGTTTTGAGTAGTAGACTGGGTTTCTTCTATTACATTGTCATGACTGGGCCATTAGGAGCCCCAGAATTTATTCAGAACATATAAAGACAGGATATTGTGGTAAAAAACAGCACATTAGAATTTAAGCTTTCAGAGATGTAGCAGTTCTGGGTCATGACTAAGTCCAAAGAGTGGCCAGGGTGAGATGGAGTGGAGGTGCGAGTTCTTGAAAACAGGAAACTTATAAGTGAATGCAGGACAATTGTAGCACATGGCAGGCAGAGGGCTGGGATAGAAGATGAAGGTAAGGGGGCGCCGGGGTGCTAAGTCAGTTAAACGTCTGACTCTTGATTTTGGCTCAGATCATGATCTCAGGGTCATGGGATCCAGGCCTGAGTCAGGCTCCATGTTCCTGCTTGGAATTCTCTCCCTCTCCCTCTGCCCACCCCCCAAAAAACTCTCAATAAATAAATAAATGAATAAAATCTTAAAAAAGAAAGAAGAAGATGAAGGTCAGTTTTACAGAACTGAACACTATAGAGGAACAGAGGTCCTTGGGGAGAACCACATTTCCATTTTCTTTTCTTTTTTTTTTTAAGATTTATTTATTTATTTTAGAGAGAGAGAGAGTGGAGAGAGGCGCAGAGGGAGAGGGAGAGGAAGAGAATCTCTAGCAGTCTCCCTGCTGAATGCAGAGCCAGACACATGGGGCTCGATCCCACCACCCGGAGATCATGATCTGAGCCAAAATTCACAGTCAGACTCTGAACCGACTGAGCCACCAATGTGCCCTTCCATTTTCCATATGTTTGTCTTTTCTACTACCCAGTGAGCTCCTTAAAATATCAGAGCTTTTACTTGGCTCCTACTTTGTGCTCAAATTCAGATATACTGAATACTTAACTTCTGCCATCACTGTCCCATAGTTCTAATTATCACAAACCCCCTTTAGATGGGGTTCATTTTACAGATGAAACGCAGAAAGCATATTGTTCAACATCACACAGCCAGTGGGGTTCAGAGCCAATCATACTGAAACCCAGTATTGTCTCATTTTGAGCCTCCACAGGTATCTCGAACTCATTAAGTCCAAAGTTTAACTTGTCATCTCTACTGTTTCACCCATATGTGCCTCTTCTAAGTTTTGTTTCTTACTGAAAGGAGCCGCCATCCACCCAGTGGCCCGCATTAGGAATCGGGGAGTCCTCTGACTCCCTGAGTAGGCACATCCACACAATCACCAAGCCCTATTGGCCTTGTAAGGTCCTCAAAGACAACCTCTTCCCTCTATTCCCACTGATTTTGCCTTGTTTTTTTGTTTTTGTTTTTTTTAAGATTTTATTCATTTATTTGACAGAGAGAGCTCAAGCAGAGGGAGAGGGAGAAGCAGGCTCCCCGCTGAGCAGGGAGCCCCATGGGGGCTTGATCCCAGGACCCCGGGATCATGACCTGAGCAGAAAGCAGAAGCTTAACCAACTGAGCCACCTAGGCGCCCACCGCCCCCACTGATATTGCCTTATTTTGCATGAGCCTCACCTCACTCCTGGATTTCTGCAGTGACCTCCGAAATGGTGTTCCTGCATCCAGTCTTGACCACTCCGGTGAATGCTCTGTGTTTCCACCAGAGTGAACTTCCTAAAGTTCTGACAGTAGCACTCCCTGTTTAGAGCACTTTCCCGCCTTCCTCTTCCCCCAGGATAAAATCCATTCTTTTTAAGCGTTTATGGAGTCTTTTACTACCTGCCACCGGTTCACCTCTTCTGACTCCTAGCTCACCATGCCCTTCACCTGATTGGCTAGCCTTACTGATCCATTTTTAATTTCCCAAACTCCCTCCTTTCTTCTCATTTTTAGACTTTTGCACTTATGGTTTCCTGTGTCCAGAACTCTAGACAGCTATTAAAATACAACGTTCTGGGGAGCCAGGGTGGCTCAGTCATTTAAGCGTCTGCCTTAGGCTCACAGTCATGAGATCAGCGTCCTGGGATCCCTGCCCAGCAAGGGTCTGCTTCTCCCTCTCCTTCGGCCCCTCTCCCTGCTCGTGCTCTCTCTGTCTCAAATAAATAAATACAATCTTAAAAATATATAAAACACAATGTTCAGAAAAAGGTGAAATTATGACTCTCCCGCTGCTGAAGAGATAATTATTCTCATACTTGTTCAAAAGGTAAGGAAGGCTTTTTTTCAGGACTATTGCAATAACTGTGAAGACTATCCCAACCGGAGAGAGGTGGAACTTGACTCTGAATACAATCAGGACGAGGGGATATGTATAGGGTCAGTGGATGATTACATCAGGGATGAGGAGATTCTGGTTAACCTGACTTAGCAGAATTCTTGCTCAAAGTGGCCAGTGGTCCAAGGATGAGGCTTATTTGAAAAGAAGCCTCAGAGGAGCCTGTCTAAAGTTTGGCCAAGGACAGAGTTATTGTCAATACCCAAATAAAAATGAACATGTGTTACAGATTTTATTTAACTCACGTGGGAACTGAGAGATGTGTGTTCTTTTTTTTTTTTTTAAGATTTTATTTATTTATTTGAGAGAGAGCACATGAGAGGGGGGGAGGGTCAGAGGGAGAAGCAGACTCCCTGCTGAGCAGGGAGCCCGATGCGGGACTCGATGCGGGACTCGATGCGGGACTTGATCCAGGGACTCCAGGATCATGACCTGAGCCGAAGGCAGTCGCTTAACCAACTGAGCCACCCAGGCGCCCGAGAGATGTGTGTTCTAAAGAAAAGATTCACAGCAGCTGTACTCTCCGTTTCGAAGGGAAAAAAACACTTTATTGATATTATAAAAATCTAAAAGAAACCGAAGAAAAGGAAAATCTAAAAGAAACTGAAGAAAAGGAAAATCTGCGCATAGATGAAGGCAATCTAATCGGGTACTTACAACATCCAACCTCATCAGCGGGTAGGGAAGCCCCCATGGAGTCAGCCAAGCTGGAATGCTGATGGAGAGAGGCCTCTCCAGCTGAGACTTCCAACTGACCCATCCCTATAAGGGCCATACTTGTAGGGCAGATGATGGGGTCTGAAGTTCAACATTTGTTTGCCTGTGTGCAGTTTGGAGTGAGCTGCATTCCTATGTTATCATGTCTTTACATATTCAAGGAGCCTGGGCTAGGTGTGTTTGCCTCCCCTCCTGGATTCCATTCTGGGGAGCCAGCCCAGTCTGGAGATGGTGGGCTGTAGGCAAACTTTATAGCTCTTGGCGCCCAGACCAGAAGGGCCAGTTCTGACCTGGAGGCCAGTTAATGTCAATTAACCAGGCTCCTTGGGTCACTTATGTCTCACAAACAACATTCTTTAGCTTGCCTGCCAATGTGTGGGTGGGGTGGTCGGTTATGCAGGACAAATCACAGAAACCTCTGTCCATTCAATGCAATGTAATACCTAGTTTAAAAGAAATCTAAAGAACACACATTTACGGACCAGGAACACAAAAATGAATATGAACATGGAGGCAAAAACTGTTGTTTTTTGTTTTTTACAATGTAGGGAGTAGGGGGCTCACTGAACCTCAGTCCTCACAGAATTTGCATGTGGATCAGTTACCTACACAGAGTTGTAAAATAGCTCCCTCGGAAACAGAATCTCATAGGGCAGATGGATGTGCTATAGATGAGTCCTTCTGGTTCCCCATTAATCATCACTTCTGGGAAGTCTTTCCCAAGTCTCTACGTTTGAATGAGTTGCAGTTTCTGGGCAATCATATTTATCGCACTGTATTGTTTGTATCCCTCCCTTTTGGAGGCACACACTGTGAGTTATTCTAAGTTTCCTGGGTGTGAACATCTGCTTCTAAGAAACACAGCATGCTAAGAGGGTAGTGAAAGCCACAAGATAAACATATTGCGTACTAATGGAGCGTCCATTTTACTCTAATATCTGGGAAAACACAATTTGACATTAAAGCAGACGCCGCCCTTCCCTCCTCACTCAATGTTTCCTTGTTTTATTAACTAATCGTTTCTATTTCAAGGCCTGCGGGACACCATGGGGACACAAAAATGCGCCAGAGCAGTCGCAACGATGTACCCTGAGCAAGAAACAATTCTGATACTAAGTGGCATTAAGTTGCGGGGGCACCACGGACACTCCGGGAAGCGGCTGGCCCGCGGTGACAGGTCTCGGGACGCGCCAGAAACTGTCGCACTGGCCTCTGGGCCAAGCTCGGCCCTGCAAGAAAGTCCTGATTTGAGCTGCTATCCTCCCAGTCTGAGGGGTGGGAAATGGCATCCGGTCAGGAATGGAACCAGAGGGGAGAGGCCCCCGACGACTCCCCAGGCAGTCCAGCCGCGCTGGGCCGCGCTCCGGCCTCGGTACCCCCCCGCGCCCCGCCCGCCCGGGCGGCTCCACCCAGGCCCCGCCCCGTGACGCGAGGCCCCGCCCCGTGACGCGAGGCCCCGCCCAGCGGCGCCCGCTTCCAAGATGGCGGTGACGATGCCTGCCAGGCTGTCGGGGTGGCGGTGACGATGGGAAGCAGAAGAGCAGGTACGTGGGCTGGGGATGATGGGGTGAGAGGCCCGGGAGAAAGGTTCGGGCGACTAGGAGGATGAGAAGTTTCGGGTAAAGGCTGGAGACCAGCTTGAGCAGGGAGGGGGTCCCAGGTGGAAATATGGACAGAGGCCGGTGGGCTCACATTGCAAATGCAAGAGGAGGTTGGGGTGGGAGGTTGGGGTGCTCCGAAAGAACTGGGCTGTGACCCTCCGCAGAGCGCTGACCACGCCCCTTAGGTGAGCCAGCCCAGATACCCGCGACGGGCTCTGCCCAGCCCTCCCACTCCCCATCTCACTTTTAGCGGTAACCCTCCTCCCTACCCCCGCTAGGACTGGGATAGGGTAGAAAAGGTAGACGACGCCACCCCCATCCTACTCCCCGCCGCGCTCCGGGGCTGTTTGCTTGCAGCTCCCAGGTGGTCACGCTCCCTGCACCTGCGGGGCTAGCGCCCAGGCACGTGAAGAACGGAAAGGAACCTGTTTCCTACTCCGCCCCGGGTTCTCCTGAGGCCACTCCACAATCCTGTCGTGACTGCCTCACCCCTTGGCGAAAATAATGTCTCCATTAGCAACCCCGTCCCCACTCCCCAAACAGGTTGGTCCTGTCGGGGTGGGGTATGGTTAAGTACAGGTACACCTGACACCCAGAGACTGGGTCCTCCCCTTTTCCCTCCCAGGCCACTTTCCCTCACTTCTACTGCTGGGAAACCAGTTCCACCCTGATCTTGATCTCTGCCCCTCTGGGTGAGTGGTTATCCTTGACCACTTCTGTTCCAGCTGGTCCCAGGATCGCTGTTGGAGTGCTGGATGGAGCCTTTCTCTGTCCTCTGTGACATTTCCAATTTTAGATAATGCCTCACATCTCTGCCCCCCCGGGACCCCCTGAAGTCCCCATGATCCCGAAGAAGACAGCTTGAACCTAGGTGAGTCCACCCCTCTCTAAAATTGGGAGGGAGGTTCTCCAGAGACTCCTTTGAAAAGGACCTGAATGATGTAAGCATCCTTGGGGGTGGGGACTGAGAGTAATTGGCCTGAGTGGTTTGGAGAGGAGGTGGAGGAGAGTGAAACTTAGGCTGGAAATGGCAAGTGGTAGGGCTGCTGGTGGTTACATTCTGTTTCTTTTCGTTGCATGACTGTACACCTATGTGCTCCCTTCTGTGACTTTGCTCTTTGCGTCTTTTCCTCTTAACTCTTGGCACCACCTTGGTTCGTAACTGATGATCTCTCTGCTGGCTTGCTCTTCGCCTGCCTGCCCCCAGAACTCTCCTCTCTCCCTCCTCAGACCTGAGCCCAGGATGTTGCGGAGGCTGCTGGAGCGGCCCTGCACACTGGCCCTGCTTGTGGGCTCCCAGCTGGCTGTCATGATGTACCTGTCACTGGGGGGCTTCCGAAGCCTCAGTGCCCTATTTGGCCGAGAGCAGGGGCCGACATTTGACTATTCTCATCCCCATGATGTCTACAGTAACCTCAGTCACCTACCTGGCGCCCCTGTTGCCCCAGGGGGCCCTCCAGCTCCTCAAGGTCTGCCCTACTGTCCAGAACGGTCTCCTCTTTTAGGTGAGTGCAGGAAGGAGGAGGAGGTAAAGGGAAGGCCAGGGTGTGGGGACAGGGCTAGGGCGGCAGGCGTGAGATTTAGGACCTGGGGTTAATGTAACCAAAGGTGGGCAGAGGTTGAGATCAGCAGGCTCTGGATTTGGAATTTAGATTGGACTCCTTGGTTGAGCCACAACCTTTCATTGCCTGGCCATTCATGTTCTCTTGCTGCCTTGGGCCGGCAATTGCTTCCTTTGTAGATGAGCCCCGGGTTAGTTAGTTAGTTAGTTAGTAAGCTTGAGGTCCTTCTGTGTTCTCCATCTTCTAACCTAGTGAGGCAGGAGTTATGGAACCCTAAAATAAGGTAGGCTAAGTAAAGAGCCTGCACCTTTCGGACTTTGCAAAGCTGTCCCAATGATGGGAAGCTCAAGGTGTGCAGATTTCTGTGTAAGCCCTTGGGGGAGCAGAGTCCGAGAACCAGACTGCCGGGGCCAGCGGTGTTCCCAGGCCCTGCAGGTCCTTCTTTTCTCGTCGCCCCTCTAATCCCTGACCTCGCCGTTCCCTCCCAACAGTGGGTCCCGTGTCCGTGTCCTTTAGCCCAGTGCCGTCACTGGCAGAGATTGTGGAGAGGAATCCCCGGGTGGAACCGGGGGGCCGGTACCGCCCCGCCGGGTGTGAGCCCCGCTCCCGCACAGCCGTCATTGTGCCCCACCGGGCCCGGGAGCACCACCTTCGCCTGCTGCTCTACCACCTGCACCCCTTCCTGCAGCGTCAGCAGCTTGCGTACGGCATCTATGTCATCCACCAGGTACTCCCAGCCTCCTCCACTCGGACCTTCTGGTAGGAAGCCTCGAGGAAACGCCGCACAGCTCTCCGACTGTGGGTCCCTGGAATAATTCTAAGAGGGTCAGACTGTTGAATGTGGAGAAGCACCTGGCCCTGCTCTGCCAGCTTGTTAGCCCCCTAGTCCTCCTTACTCTGTTCAGGGTATTCCGACTGCCCTGTACTCTCCATGATTTTTCCTTGGTTGAATTGGGAATGGCACAAATTTGGAATCGGACAGATTTGGACTAAAATCAGTCCTGCCATTTGTCCCATATGTGACCTTGAACAAGATTCTTAACCCCCTAAAATGAGGCAAAGAATGAAAACTAATAGACACCTGTTTTCCATGGCTGTTGGTTGTCAGGATTAAATGCTAAACAGTAGCATGTAAGTAATCAGGCACATACTGATGCTCAAAATCGATTTGTTGGATGAAAAAATGAAACTTTGGCTTTCTCTTCATTCTCCTTGCCCCACTCCCCCCGCTTTGATTCCCCTCCTTTCACTTTTGTACTTCTGCCCCCTCTTCTCCATGCTACTACCTACAGATGTGGTCTGGTTCTTCTCCATTACCTTCCAGGCTGGAAATGGAACATTTAACAGGGCCAAGCTGTTAAACGTTGGGGTGCGGGAGGCCCTGCGTGACGAGGAGTGGGACTGCCTCTTCTTGCACGACGTGGACCTTCTGCCTGAGAACGACCACAATTTGTATGTGTGTGACCCCCGGGGACCCCGGCATGTTGCCGTTGCCATGAACAAGTTCGGATACAGGTAGAGGGCACGAGAGGGTGCTGGGAAGTAGGGACACCCACCATCCATTGGAAGAAGGAGAGCCAAGGGGATTGTGGGGTAGGGATGTCTCCCCAAAAGACTCGTGGAACCCACGGATCTTTCTCTCCCTAGCCTCCCGTACCCCCAGTACTTTGGAGGAGTCTCGGCGCTCACTCCTGACCAGTACCTGAAGATGAATGGCTTCCCCAATGAATACTGGGGCTGGGGTGGTGAGGATGACGACATCGCTACCAGGTCAGACTTCCTGCCACCACTCCCCACCCCCACCTTGGCCTGGATCCCTGTCCTCCGAGACCACCCCTGGCTCTAACCCTTTAACACCGGCTTTAGCTCCCTGGTCCTGCACTGTGCCCATTCCTCTCCCTTAGCTTTTCCCATCTACCCAGGTCAGGCTTTTCGTGCTGTTCCCCATTCTGTCACCCTTCAGTCTCCTAGATCTGGTGAGTTCTGTTTCTGGGAAAGAAGGGAAGATCAATAGGCTGTAGGATCATGGGATTCCAGAGCTGGAAAGGGGCCTAGACATACTTCAGTCCTGCCTTCTGCTAACGTTGCATCCAGGCCACTTCCTATGGGGCTGTGGAGGAGGGGCTCTGCTCCATATCGCCCAGAATCGCTTTCTGGTTTTAAGTCTGTGCCATTGGCATGATGCCAGCTCATTTTTAGCATGTGAAACATTTTGACCTTCAGCCTCAGCTGACCCAATTTCCTATCTGTGGTGTGAAAATTTGGGCTTGCTATGCTGGACCCATTGCTTTCCCTCCCCCTCGTGTCCTCCAGATGACCTCTCTGAGTTCTTGTTCTCTGTGTGTGTGTAAAGGATCCAGCAATTTCTAAATGTACGTGTTCCTTCAGTACTTTCCCAGGCCATCTTCGGCTCTTGCTTCTGTGTGTCAGAGGTGGGGTCCTGATTACTTGGTTCCATTCTTTTCCTAACACTGAGGGTTGGGGGGGGGGTGCAGGGTGAGGGAGTCAAGGCCGCTCAGCCACTGTTCTAAGTAGGAATTGCTGAGCTTGGGGCTGCAACTCCTGGGCTTGTCCTGTCCTTTTGAGCAAATGCCAGGGCAGTTCCTGGGAGCCACTTAGAAAACAAAGATGGGAGGTGAGGACCTACCTGCCCGTTAAAAGGCCAAAGGGCGTCCGGACTTGGCTGCGTCCAGCCCTTACATTCCCTCGTGCTGTTTCCTTCACTCTGTTTGACTTTCTCTCTTCCAGTATGTGGCACTTTTTTTGCCTAATACTAGTCGTTGTGTACAGAAACATGTTGTTGCTTCCTTGCTGGCCGTAGCTCTCCCTGTTGACCGGTCAGCAGCTTTCCTCCACTTGGGGGTCCTCCAAGGTGCCCTCCCTTTTCCCGCAGGGTGCGTCTGGCTGGGATGAAGATCTCTCGCCCCCCCACATCGGTGGGGCACTACAAGATGGTGAAGCATCGAGGCGATAAGGGTAACGAGGAAAACCCCCACAGGTAGGGAGGACTGCCTGGGAACCGCTATGGCTCCATAGGGCTCTGCACCCCCAGGGAAAGTACTGCATCCTAATGTTCCCTAGGTTCCTGGCTATTTCTTTCTGGGCCTTAGTTCTCCAACCTCTGACCCTCAGATTTGACCTCCTGGTCCGTACTCAGAATTCCTGGACGCAAGATGGGATGAACTCACTGACATACCGATTGCTGGCTCGAGAGCTGGGGCCTCTCTATACCAACATCACAGCAGACATTGGAACTGACCCTCGGGGTCCCCGGAGTCCCTCTGGTCCCCGTTACCCACCTGGTTCCTCCCAGGCCTTCCGTCAAGAGATGCTGCAGCGCCGGCCCCCAGCCAGGCCTGGCCCTCTGCCTACTGCCAACCACACAGCCCCCCGTGGTTCACACTGACTCCTCCTTCCTGCCCTCCTCAATCATGAAACTGAATCAGAGGGGTTGTACTCTCCCCACCCTCAGCTCCTCACTGGTCTTAGAGGGATGTGGGGGGACTGAACTCCAGGCTGCGCTGGAGGCAAGGGCCTCTCCTCACTGCTGGACTGGAGCTGGGCTCCTTCAGTCCTGGGGGGTCCCTCTTTCTAGGGTCACCTGCTAGGGCTTATGACTGTGAATCCTTGATGTCATGATTTTATGTGATGACTCCTCAGAGTCCCTGGCCCCTGGGGTAAGAGCAGGGCTGGACCCCAAGTCCCTTCCTCTTCCGTGGAGAGAAGAGTGATCTGGCTTTTTCTGGGACCTCTGTGAATATTTATTCTATTTATGGTTCCGAGGAAGTACGTTTGGTGAAGGAAGCCCCTCCCTGGGTACTTTCTGCCAGTGCTGGAGTCACTTCCTCTTCTGGACCTGGCTCAGGGGGCTGGGATTTTGATATATTTTCTAATAAAGGACTTTGTCTTGCCTCTGCTCCTGCTTGCTGCATCCCAGGCACCTTGTGCCTACCTTCGCGACCCGCTCCTCCACCCCCAACCCCCCCCCAGCCGCCACCGTATGCCTGGAGGTGACGGAACAACCAGACCCAGCCAAGCTCCAGCAACTTGTATTTTCGTGGGTAAAGCAGAGCAAGGAGGAGGTGAGAGCTGGGGATCAGCCGTTAGGCTCCGAGCCCAGGACCCGGGCTGCTGCCTGGCGTCCACTCTCTATACAGTCATTGACAGCAACTCCCTCATAGGAGGCTCCGGCCAGAGTCAAGGGCAGCCTCCGAGAAGCCAGGAACTGGGTCGCTGCCTCTGGAAGGAGAAGATGAAGGGACTGTTACCGCTGGGGGTCTGGTTTCCTTGCCCTCCTCACACAGCCGCTTTCCCAACTCACCCAGTTTTTGCCAGTGGCCTAGCGTATACTGGGGGATGCAGTTCTGGGGAGAGAAGAGGGGATGCGGGGAAATTCTGGTTGGTGACGGCCAAGCCCGAGTAGACGGCAACAGGTACACCGGTCCCTGCCTCCAGTGGGAGCCAAGCGGCGCGTCCTCAACTCACCTTGTGTAAGTGAACCAAGCAGTGAGTTGGTGGCTCCTTCAGCCCTAACTGGGTGGCAGCCGCTTGCTGCGCCTGCTGTCGGAACAGCTCCTGAGGTAAGACAGAGCCCCTGGCTTCCAGCGTATGTAACCAGGATCCTCCCAGCATCACCTAGGGAGAGAACGTGGCACTGACCAGCCTGGCCTGACCTAGTGGGCACAGAGGGAGCCTCTGGAAACCCCCACTAAGCAAAGCTGCTGCTTCTCACCGTCACTCGGAGGCCAGGGGGGCTCCCGTCCTGCTCAGGAAAAGCAACGGAGTCATACACGATTCCCAGGACGCCCGGGTCTTCTGAAGATGGCACCAAGTGTCCAAATCCCTGGAGGCAGCAAGAGCCCGGGTCAGGAAGAAGGGTTCCGGTTGGGCCCGTGGCTCTCGTTCATCTGTGCCCACGCCCACCTGCACAGGCAGACGAGCTCCTCGGTACTGGAGGTTCACCACAGCCACGGACACGGCATGGATGGCGCTCAGGGCGCGGGCCAGAGGTGCGGCCTGGGCGGGGAGCAGCCCGCTGAGCACTGGGGGACAGCAGCCAGGGGCCTGCTTCAGGAGGCGTTCACAGCGTGCTCCCGCTGGCCCAGGAAGCTACACTTGGCCTCACTCTGGCTGGGGACGGGGAGGAGGGCTACCCCAGTACCTGAAGCTGGAACAGCGCTAATCACGTGGTCTGCCTCCAAACTGCTGTCCCCCAGAGACACCTGACAGGATGAAAACATGTAAGAACACAGAGATAATGGGAATTTTGCCTCCGATTCCCAGGCACCGAACTGGCAGGAGACACTGAGTGCTGCCCCAGGATGAAGAGACCGCCCCCCTGCAGTCGGCACAGAGCCCACCCCCACCATCACTCCAGGCAGTGGGCCGGACGGAAGCCAGTGTGGCCACTCGGAGATGTGCAGTGGGGCTGGGCTGTCCCTTCCCCTATCTAAGCCACTCACAAACACCACCTCTGTCCAGAGTTGGATCCAACAGGTCTTGGAGGAACGTCTACAAGTAAGGCCTAAGACCCTTGGATAGCCCATGTTTAAATAGCATCTAGGGGGGGCGCCTGGGTGGCTCAGTCGTTAGGCGTCTGCCTTCGGCTCGGGTCATGATTCCAGGGTCCTGGGATCTAGCCCCGCATCGGGCTCCCTACTCGGCCAGGAGCCCGCTTCTCCCTCTCCCACTCCCCCTGCTTGTGTTCCCCTCTCTCGCTGTGTCTCTCTCTGTCAAATAAATAAAATCTTAAAAAAAAAAAAAATAGCATCTAGGGCAGGAAAACAACGAGTAACTAGTCCTGCCAACCCTGGCCATTTAGGCAAAGATGGAAACTCGAACACACACGTTACACACCAGGGGGCTCTCCTACCTTCCAGCGCCCTTCTGCCTGGAGGCTGAGGCCACAGACAGGCTGCCCTCTGAGAACACGAACCCCCCTACTAGTCAGGTGGGTGTTAAGGGCCTGGGGCAACGTCTCCAGCCCTCCACGCAGTGACCACTGGCTCCAGCGCTCAGCTCGGGCCCGGCGAATGAGTGCTGAGTCGGGCTGTGGGCCCCGGCCTGCACAGGGGGAGGCAAAGAAGGATCATTGAAACAGCACCCCTGGCCTCCAGTCCCTTACTCCGGTGGTCCTTAATATCTTCATCCCTTGAACCAGCCCCCCCACTCACCTGCCCCCAGCAGCAGCCCCAGTAAAACGGAACGATGGGTTTGCTCAGCTTGGAAGAGACTGGGAAAGCAGGACCTGATGCTGAGCTCCCGGCTGTTGCCTGCAAACACTCCTCGGCAGAGACTGTCCATGGCTAGAGACGCCACCTTAAGGGAGAGACTGGGAGTGAGAGGCCAAGGAAGAAGCTGCACAGACTACTTTCCAGTGCCCCTGCATCGCAGGGATCGGAGGTGGGGTAGGGTTCGGGGTGGGGAGCAGTCCCCCTATAACAAAAGAATGGGAAGGAAGTGGAGGCATTCGGTCTCAACGCTGAGTTTTGGGGACTACTGGGTGTGAAGAGAGGGAGAGGATGTTCCCAAATGATACAGAAGAGCCCCTAGGTGGAAGGTTTGAGTAGGGGGCTCTGCTGCTGGTTAGGAGGAGAGGGATTTGGGGGCCTCTGGGCCGTGTTACCTCAGGTCCAAGGCGACGCTGGGCAAAACTGTGCACAGTCTCATCAGGGTCTTTGCCCCTGGGCGCAGTCAACTCCTTCAGCCCAGCCCAAAACAGAGGTTTGGAGAAGGGAGGTGAAGGGCGGAATAGCCCCCTGCACTGAGGAAAGCATAGTCATTTCTGTTCATCTGGCTCCTCTTGCTGGGAGGGCGGACAGACTGGGAGATGGGGAAATGGAAGGGGTGACATGATGCGGGCAAGGTAGAAAGACAGTCGGTAAGGAGCTGACAGCGTTACCTGAGGCCAGAGGGCAGCGCATGCAGGGCACCACCTACATACAGGAACCTGTTCTGGGCAGCTGGGTGGTCTCCCCGGACAGGCAACACTTCTGAGTCCAAGCCAAGCTCAGAAACCTGCTCTCCAAACATCCCCAAGAAGAGGAGAAACTAAGGAAAGGACTGGCCCACCAATACTTCCTCCCAAGTCTGTCCTCTAGTGAAGGCCCCTCCGCAAGCCCTCCTGGGCATTCCATAATCCTCTCACCAGGAGCAGGGTCCGGGCTCCCAGGGCTCCCGCCGGCCGAATTCCTCGAGGTCCAAGTTCAAAGATAGCATCACCTGGCCCTCGGACCGAGCGGATCCAGCCTCCCAGACGCTCACTGCCCTCCACCAGGACCACCTGGGGACAGGAGCGAGACACGCTGCACGGCCTACAGCCTCGGGGTAAAGGGTCCGCAGGGGAAGACGGTGGCGCGCTCCCTTTGGCCGGATACGGGAGGAGAGTATTAAAGGAGGCTCCCTCTGGCATGATGGGGCACTCACCTTGGGGGGACAGGGGGCCCGGCTCAGGTGGTAACTGGCGGCCAAGCCGCTGATGCCACCGCCCAGCACGACCACGGTCCGGCCCATTGGGAAGCCTAGGGGAGAGGGGCGATCGGACAGGCTGACCGGGGAGCACCCTGCTCTGCAGAAGCCCCCCGCAGGTTCCACGTTCCACCCCCGGCCACTCACTGCTTCGGGGGAAACTACGGCAGAGCCGGCGGACGAGGTGGGGCCAGTGAGGTCCCCGCCCAGGGCCCAGGACTCACCCGCGAGAGGACTGAGGGAACCGGAGGGAGAGGTCTCGGGGCCCCCCGGCCGGCGCTCGGCGGGGAGGCGGATAAGGGCCCCGCCCACGCTATCTGCCCGCGCAGGGCTCCGGGCGCCGCGGGGCGCCCCACCCCCACCCCGGCCCGCAGCTCTCAGGCCGCCGCTCCGTTCGCCCCCTTCGGGCCCTCCGACTCCTGTCCACTCCGTCCCGCGGCCCCGGGCTCCCCCGCCTCCGGATTGGTGGTCCCGGGAGGCCCCGGATCACGTCAGCCAATGAAAGCACAGAGCTGGCGGCGGCTCCTCCCGCCCCGCGGAGCCCGGCCACGGCGTGCGGCGGCGGCGCGGAGCGGCGCTTAACTGGA